GGATATGAGTCTTAATGGGTATGAATTTACCCATGGATAGTTGTACATATATATATGGGTATATATGTATATAAGAATATTATATTTATTAGTATTATAAATAATAATATTAATATCTATAGTTAGAATATTATATATAGTTATAATGTTAAATATATATATATATATATATATATATATATATATATATATATATATATATATTAATGCTTAATTATTTCTGTATTTATGTAATATAATAGATATAGTTATATATATACATATAAGTTTATATTCCTTTTTCTTTTAAAATCCTTAAGACATTACAATTAGTTTTAAGATAGGATTTTGTATAGCCTATATATATACATAGGATGGTCTGTAAAAGGGTCTTAAACCCTTATAACAGACACACAGAGAAAGAGACTTGAGAACAGAGAGAGAAAGAAGAGAAACTGAGAGAAAGGAAAGAGAAATTGAGAGAAATGAAAGAGAGAGCTCAGCCAAAGGTTCAAAGCCGAACCAAGGAGAAAGGAAGGAGAGGCTACACGTGGGCTAGAGCTTGAGCAGCAGGGGTTTTGACTGCAACCAAGGTCGCCGGAAAATCAAAGGAAAAAGAAGGTTTAAGGTTTCAATTTGAAATCCTTAAAGGCAATTTCTTCTTCTATCTCTTTCCCTTTGATCACGTGTTCTATACAAGCTTAGGACACTCCAGGATGATTAGTTAGAATAAATAAATAAACTTTGCATGCTAATTAGATTTAAAACAGTATGTATGCTAAGTTTATGTAATTTGTTTAATTTTGATCTTGGAAGCATGATTTCTTGTTTTAAATAATTTAAATTATGCATAAAGGCTTTAAATAATGTTTGGGGTCATTTGGGACTTAGAACATAAGCAATAGGACCCTTAACGGAGGAGAAAAGAGTTGCCGGAGCTGGAGAAGACGAAGTGTCATAGGGACACGTCGACCGGTTTAAAGAACCTGTCGACCGGTTTGTGTAAACCAATTGACGTCTGCAGGTTTTTTGTCGACCGGTTTCTAGGCAAATTAGTTGACGTCTGCATGGTTCATATCGACCGATTTGGGGCGCTGGGTACTGTTTTGGTTCTGTGATGTATTTTCATGGGATCTTGGACTTAGGGTATGTTTGGATCTGTTTAAATGATTTTAAAAGATTTCAATGGACTTGAAAAAGGGCTGGAATGCATAATATATTCTAATATGCTAAATATGGAATTTAATTAACTTAAAGTTAATTAATAGATGATTATATTGTATTAAATTGTTTTAATCAAATATATTGGATTTAAATAGTTTAAATTATGTAATGGAGGTTTATATAATCTATTTGAGATGCATGTTAATTACTTGTTTTGTAAGATTAACTGCATGCTACTTAGAATTTGTTATATTGCTTAATTAAATGCAAAGTATGATTTATATCATGTTGTACATGGATTATTTGGTGTATAGATATATTATTGCATCAATTATTGGATATGGATGAATGCAATATTATTAGGATATGGGGGCATATGGGGTGGATTAACGGAAAAGTTAAGTCCTACCTATTTTATGTTAGGCCATGGAACCAGTTGGATGACATGCCATTTAAATAATGTGGCGGATAATTTATTTTTATGTTTTGGATAGGATGGATATTATATATATGAATATATTCTACGATATGAGCTTGAGTCTTAAGATTAGTGGTTAGGGAGTGTATATTATCTGAGATGCCTAGCTGGATATAGTGGCTAGTTGTGTGCCCTATTAGACCTAGGTACTCATGTTTACTATATATGTGTTTTGCATGTTGTCTACTATTCAGGTTAATGCCGCCCTATAGTCCAATGAGAGTCCTTTAGTGTGTATCTCTCTTTCTCTCTCTCTCTCCCTCTCTCTCTCTCTCTATATATATATATATACGGATTATGTAGATATTATTGAGTTGACTAGGATGTATACGTGTATCGGGTCTCTGTTTGGACTGTAATAGAGTAGAACTTGTTTGTGCGCCTAACCCACCATTGTTTTTCAAGTGTTCGTCAGTTCCTGGCATAGAGATTGTTCATGTTGAGCAGAGACAATTTTTATCACTCATCTATGTAGGATTTCCCTTTCATTCCAATATTGAATTTTATTTACTTTAGTTTTCAGTTGGGATTTTATTAGGGGTCCACATGATGGATTCCCGAATTGTAATCTAGACGGTTACTGGCATCAGAAATTTTGGATTATTGGATTATTTTAATGGAAAATTTTGGATTATTGGATTATTTTAATGGAGTTTTATTGGAGGATTTATTATTTAATTTTTTTTCACCTATTTTATTTATTCTTAATTCCTTTTGTATATTATGCTTGTTTATTACTTAATTGTTTTGATATTTCTCTCGGGTTTGGGTTTGGGTTTGGGCTTGATCAACTCATGTCTCGGAGACAAGGGGTGTCATAGCAAATTAAAGAAAATCTTGTATGGTTTGAAGCAAGCCCCGAGGCAGTGGTTCAAGAAGTTTGATAGTTTTATAAAGTGACATGGCTATAACAAGTGCAACGCTGACCATTGTTGCTACTTTAAAAGGTTTAAGTCAAGTTTTATTATCCTTCTACTTTATGTTGATGACATGTTAGTGGCAGGTTCGAATTTTGAAGAAATCAACAAATTGAAAACGCAGTTGTTTAGTGAATTTGAGATGAAGAATCTTGGTGCAGCAAAGCAAATTATTAGGATAAGGATTAGCAGAGACAAACATAAAAGTATTTTGCAATTGTCTCAGGCTGAGTATATTTAACGGGTTCTGAAAAGGTTCAACATGAATAATGCTAAGGCGGTGAGTACTCCTTTAGCTAGTCACTTCTGATTATCTCAAGATCAGTGTCCGAAGATAGAATATAAGAAAAATTTCATAACTAAAATTCCATATGCCTCAGCCATTGGAAGTTTGATGTATGACATGGTGTGCACAATACTAGACATTGCATATGTAATGGGAGCAGTAAGCAAGTTCATGAAGGATCCGAGCAAGCTACACTGGGCAGCAGTGAAGCGGATATTGAGATATCTACAGGGTATTACAGACAGATGCCAATGTTTCAAAAGAGGCAAGGTGAAGTCAATGGTTATGTAGATTCAGACTTTGCTGCTGAGGTAGATTACAAAAGAAGTACTATCGGATATGTGTTCATGGTGGGTATAACTGGAGTTAGTTGGGTTTCGTAAATACAGAGGATTATATATCTATTATAAAGGTAAAGTATGTGGCGATGACAGAGGCCAGCAAGGAGATGATTTGGTTACAAGGTTTGTTGACACAATTGGGATTCAAACAGGTAAAGAATGTTTTTCACAGTGATAGTCAGAGTGTAATACATCTGGCAAAGAATTCAACGTTTCATTCAAGGACTAAGCATATAGGACTTTGGTATCACTTCATCAGATCTTTATTAGAAGATGGGGTGCCGACATTTGAGAAAATACTTAGCACCAAAAATCCGATTGACATGTTGACCAAGACAATGACTATAGAGAAACTAAAGATGTGCAAAGTTTTAGTTGGTCTTCTAGCTTAAAGATAAAGATACGCGCATCGAAATGCATAAGACATGCATGAGAAGAAGATGGATGGGTTTACAAGTACTGCAGCCTCCAAGTGGGAGATTGTTATGGTTTTGTGGAGTCTCTTATTGGTTTCCTAATTAGTTTCTTAATCTGTTTTTTTATTCCTTATTGGTTTTGGACTCTACAAAAGGCAAATTTCTTGTAGGACAAGTTTTTTTGGGTCTATATATATCAACTATAATAATATTTTAGGGTATGGAGAAAATAGAAAGAAAAAAGAGGATCACTATACGTGTTGTATGATTGATTAATTTGTGCCAATACAAGAGTGAATAATTGAGAGAGATTGAGAGAAAATTCTCCATTGTAATTCTTCATCTTTTTCATAGTGAATTTGTTCGGTACACTTCTTGGACGTAGCCCTAAGATTTGGGTGAACCATGTATATCTTGTGTTCTTGTGTGTGATTTTTTTTTTTTTTTTTTTTTTTTTGTGATTGCTTGATTATTTCTCGAACAACGTTGTTTATTTTGCATTTCTGCCACAACAACTAGAAACAAAACATCTGGTTGATTGTGTAGCAACTCCAACATATATGAACATTAGGTGTTGCCACCCAATTGGTATTTTACTTTAAAATTAGTAAAAGAATTTTAAATTAAAAACTCAATTGGTTTTGTATTTTAGTTAAAATTAAAATTAGTTTACAGAGGGAAGGGGTTTGAATTAGTAGAAGGATTTTTAATTGGAAACTCAATTGATATTTTATATTAATTAAAATTAAATTAGTTCTTTTAGTTAATTAAAATTAAAATTAAAATTAGCATATGAATTTTAATAAAAGTCAATGATTTGAAAATAATAGTATAGATAGAAGAATTTTAGAAACCTCATATTGGTACTTTTATTTTAGTTAAAATTAAAATTAGTTTATAGAGGGTTTTTTTAGGGATTTTATTTTGATTAAAATTAAAATTAGTTATCTAATTTAAAATTAAAATTAGTAGAAGAAAATAAATAAAATTTGTAGAAGAATTTTAAATTGGAAACCCAATTGGTATTTTTTTTAAAAAAAATTATTAGAAGAATTTAATTTAGAAACCCAATTGATATTTTGTTTTAGATTATTATTTTAGTTAAAATTAAAATTAGTCAATTGGTATTTTAATTAAAATTAAAGTTAGTAGAAGAGTTTTAAATTGGAAATCTTTCTTTTAGTTAAAATTAAATGAGTTTAGTGTGGGATTTGGTAAATTAAAATTAGTAGAAGAATTTTGAATTAGAACTGAATTGGTATTTTATTTTATTAAAATTAAATTAGTTATTTTAGTTAATTAAAATTAAAATTAGTAGAAGAATTTTAATACAATTCAATGATTTGATATACCTTATGCTTTTAATATAAAAAAATATACAATATAAAATAAAATAATATATGTATAGTATAAATATAGATATAGGATAAATTGGATAATAGTATAGTAGTTAGATATTTTACTAATTAAATTTTAAATTATAGAAAAAAAATAAAAGAAAAAGGTTAAACCTTTTTTCTATGGTGTCCTTGAAAAAAACAAAAAAAAAAAAAAAAAAAAAAAAAAAAAAAAAAAAAATCTTGCATTATGTATATAGCATCCGAACCCTAGTGTCGATGGCGTGAACAATAAGTTCCGTTTAATCGCGTTCAACGGAGAAACTGTTTCAGATTCACCTGTATTTGACTGCTCTTTATCTGTAAATAATGTCTTGTCGCAGAGGTAATTATGAGCCTTTTACTTGTTTGAATCATATTGCTTTCCTCAAGTTTTGTTTGTGTTTTTGTTGTCTAAAATTCTGTTTGGGTTAGAAAATTTGTTGCAATTGAACCTTGGGTTACAGTATAAGGAGGAACAGTCTGATATTATTCTGCTTTGATTTGATTTTATTTTTTCCTTCTTCCCTTTGGTTTTCAATTATCCCGGATTAGATTTGTACTTATATATGTATTTCATGCATTCTTGCTTTGGGTCTTTTCGAAATATGTTTTGCATAAATAAGCTGATCGTAAATTAGTTTTTAGTTTTTGTGGCTTCAGGCGTAGTGTAGGTCTTTCATATTTTCGTCTTCTTTGTGTCACTCGTGTGTATGTCTGTATTTCAGTATTTGCTTTTAATCTTATGTCTTGGGTTTTCTTCGAGAAACATGAATAAACATTGAAGATACTATCACTTATTAGTTTTATGCAGCCCACTCATTTATATTTGGTGTGCAAGTTGTGCGAGTGTTGGTTCATGAATAAATCTGACCGAGGGGTTAGTTCGTATACCGGAAGCAAATTGCCTTATTGTTGTTGCATTGTCTTTGACAATGACCTCATGACAGAGGCCTGTGTAATCATGTCCATACCATAGTCAAATGAGTATCCAAATCACATGAAATTTTTGTATGTAAAAATTTTCAGTTGACATTTCTTCTCTCTCCAAAACGACATTTTCTTTCCTAGTGTATACGAGAACGAGGTTGTTTTAGAAAGTATGATGGATGATTTTGTCCCCTCAGGGTGAGCAACCTCATTATGAGGGTTATGAAAGTATTGTTGAGGAGACCCTGCTCAGTCACAGAACAAGGACTGACGTGCTATAAAGGATAAGGACGTGCTTGAAACTATAAAGGATGAATACTCTATGGATGATGAGGGCTTGTTTTCTAATTTTCTTAACTGGAACAGCTTTAGAATAGCAAAATTTTCAGGGAATGCTCATGGATCTGGAAGAAACTTTTAAAATTGAGAGAAATCTCTAAAGAGCACGTCAAGAAAGGTATGATCCCTGATTTGGGATCCTGGTATGGGGATAGCAGCTACTGTTGCTCAAATAATTTGAAATGACCGTCTTTGACATACTAGTGATTATCTTTTGCTGATAGGCTTCAACAATTAACTTAGTTCTATTTGCTGTTCAAGTTTTTCTGGAGAGTTTTGTTTGTATATTGCACAAGAAAGCATTAGGGAAGCCAAAAAAAAGAAGATTTTTTTGGAAGGGTGCTTCTTTATTTGGTGGTGGTGCTAAAGATTGCTTTTGAGGAGTTCGGTCTTCCTAACAAGGAGAAAGGAATTGGAGTCAAAAGTTCTTATTCTTGAAACTAAGAAGTAGCTATAGTTAGACGCCTACTTATCAAAAAAAAAAAAGCTATAGTCAGACACCTATGGAATGTGTGCTCCAATAACATCAACTCTCTCTATTTTAATGATCGTCAGTTGTTGATAGGCTTCAACAATTAACTTAATGCTATTTGCTAATCAATTCTTTTGGAGAGCTTTGTTTGTATATTACCCAAGGAGGAGTGCTAAGGACATTCGCCCAAAGCGACTACCCTTCTACATTTATTGTTACTTTTGATTAAAAAATAAATCATTATAGTTTTAATTAATATGTTGCTCCTATTTTTATTAACCATTAAAAACTAAAATTTTAAGACTAAAGTACCCTTTAACTATTTATATAGATATATATCACTTGCTATTATCACTTATCAAATCAAACCCTAATTTCTATAGAATCCAATCTGTCTCTCTCTCTTGTCAAATAACCAAGATCTTGAGGTTACTTCAAAGGATCTCTTGTTCCTCTCACGCCACAAATCCCACCATAAACAAAGGGGAATGACCCTCTAAACATCCTTGACTCGACTCTCCACTAGATATCCTCTCGAAGCCTTAACCATCTCCACTGCGGATCTTGGAAACACCCAAGTTACACCAAATACAACCAAAAACATAGCCCAAATATCACTTTCTACTAAGCAGTGAAGAAGAAGGTGATTCACAGTTTCCTCTATCCCCTTGCACATGCAACACCCATTAACCACGATCTGCCTTCTCTTCCTATTGTCGAGAGTGAGAATGCTTCCACGAGTAGCACACCACGCAAAAAATGCCACCTTCAAGGAGGCTTTCGACCTTTAAATCGCCTTCCGAGGGAAAGAATTACCTGGAATCTCTACAAGACTGTGATATTCAAACACCCCTCTTGGCTGACCCATCCACACAATCTCATCCATCCCCACCCCCTCTACCTCCCAGCTATAGAACAGCGCTAGTAACTCAACAACCTCTGCAAGCTCCGAGTCATGAAATTATGTACGAAACTGCACATCCCAAGTCAACCTCCCACTATCAAGATGATAACAGTTGGCAACCAAAGTATGTCTACTCGAACAAATCTTGAACAACCGAGGGAACCTACAAGCTAGAGCAATGTCTCCACACTAGTGATCCTCCCAAAACTTGATTAGATTCCCACTCCGAACTTTGAACTGAATACGTTTGGAAAACTCATCCCACCCCTTCTATATAAGCTTCTAAATGCCCATAACTATTGGAAACCTCACTTCCCTAGATAACCACCCACCGTCACCCTCCCCATACCGGCAAACAATGACTCTCCTCCATAAACGGGTCCTTTCGCACCCGAACCTCGCTAACCATTTATCCAACCAAGCCTTATTGAACAAGTCCAATCTTCAGAGACCTAAGCCCCCCTTTTGAATTGGTAAGCACACCTTCTCCCAGTTCACCGAATGGTATTTAAACTCATCACCAATGCCACTCCACAGGAAATTCCTTTGAATCATATCTAATCTCTGCATAACGAAAAAGAGACATAAAATAGGTAGGAAGATTTGAAAGAGTGCTCTTCGTAAGGGTATTCTTCTTCCCTTTCAAAAGATACTGCTTCTTCCACCCAACAAGACTCCACTCGAATTGCTCGGGATCCTAAACTTAAATTCTCCTTGAAATTGGCCCAAAGGGCAAACCAAGATAGGATATTGGAAGCGTGCCAACACCACACCCAAGAATATATGCTTAGTCCTAAATTCTATTGACAGCCCGATTGGAACCAACTCGCTCTTCCCAATGTTGATCTTTAGCCCTAAGATGACTTGTAAACAGGCCAGAACACACCTTAAAAACCTCAACTGATCCACCTTAGCATCACAAAAGACGATGGTATCATCTGCAAAGAGCAAATAAGGGATAGCCAGCTGATTAAGGCTATTTCCCACCGTGAAACCTCAAATATAACCCAACTCTTCCGCTCTCCTCATCAATCTGCTGAAAGCCTCCATATCAATGATGAACAAAAATGGAGAGGGGGGTCACCTTGGCGCAAACCTCTAGAGCTAGCGAAGAAACCGCTGGGGATCCATTAACTAAGATCGAGAACCGCACTGTCGAGATGCATTGGTAAATCCAATTCCTCCATCTGGGGCCAAACCCCATCCTCTCAAGCAAATACAACAAAAAATTCTAGCAAACATGATTATAAGCCTTCTCGATGTCCAACTTGCAAATAATCCCCGGAACACCACTTCTATCTCTGGCTTCCATACACTCACTAACAACCAAGACTGAATCCAAAATATGTCGACCACCGATGAAAGCATTATGGGGCTCCGAGAATACCTCCTCCAGAACTCTCCTTAGACGGATCGCTAAAGCTTTAGCAAGAATCTTGTAAACTGCTCCCACCAAACTAATCAGTCTACAGTCCTGAGCCTCCACTGCACCACCCTTTTTAGGAATAAGGGTAATAAAGGATGCATTGAGACTCTTCTCAAAGTGCCCTTCAGAATGAAAGTAACTCAAAGTACCCATCACCTCTGGTTTCACCACCTCCCAATTACCATGACAGAAAGCCAAAGAAAAACCATTTGGGCCTGGAGCTTTGTCGACATGACAGCTCCTTAGAGCTTTTAACACCTCCTCCTCCTCCTCAAATGGCCTCATAAGCCACTCTTTATCCTCAATGGAGATTCCCGAGAACTCCAGTCCATTGAGCAACGACGTCCTCCGTAAAGAGCTGCTGATAAAAAGAAACGAAACTGTTCCGGACATCCTCACCCCTTGTCACCCAAATCCCATCAAAGCGAATCCTCCCAATGTGATTACCTCTTTTATGAGGATTAGCCAGGGAATGTCAAAGCTTTGTATTCCAATCTCCCTCTTTCAACCACAACGCTCTAGACTTCTGTCTCCATGAGATCTCGTCCATTAATATAATCTCACCAAACTCTGCCTTGCATTCCTCTCTCCTACTCGCTTCCCTTGTTAAGTCCTCCCTCACCCTCCTCCTTGTTCAAATCTGAAATTTCACAAAGTATTCTTTTTTTTGTGCCATTCAAGGTTTTGATATCACGTTTCAGCAACCTAAGTTTAGATGCTAAAATGAAACACGGGCTGCCCCTATCCTCATAATTGGACCACCAATGCTGGACCCTTGATCTGAAATCCTCCACACAAAACCATTTTTGAACCGGAATGGGGTTCTCCCTCTCCTCACACCTCCACAATCCAAGAGAATAGGAATATTATCTGAGACTGCTCTAGCCGTCGCCACCTGAGACACATCTGGAAACTCTTCCTCAAACTCGCCAGAAATCAAGAACTTATCCAAGCGGGACAAGGTGGGAGACTCTTGGCCACTCGACTGTGTGAACTAACCGCCCTCCATCGGGATGTCAATGAGATGATGAGCATCAATAAAATCTGAAAACTCTGCCATTGCCGGAGTCCATCTCCCTCCTGTAAATCTCTGACTTGCCCTCCGCACAACATTAAAATCCCCACCCACATGCCACTTGGCCGACCACCTTCTCCTAGTAGACAACAACTTTTCCCAAAGCCCCTCCTCTCCACATCACCGACCAGCCCATAAGCCCCCGAAAACACCCAAAGAGAACCATTATCTTCCAAGGAGAACAAAAAAAGAGAGAGAAA